TTTAGTTTTTAAAATTGCCATGTAGTCGTAGTGTCAATAAATTCCTTTAGGGGTGTAACTCAGTTTGATTAGGCCTATATTTCTTGTCATTTTGTGCATGATTATTTCTGTTTTAGATGTAATAAACTCGTTTTGAAAGTGAGAATCGCTGGTATTTTAATGCCCTAGACCATCCAATTAACTTTCCTAACACATTTACCGTTTTTTTTAATGTTGTGGTATAGTTTTTGTTTAAGACCCAAGTTTGACGTTTATCTAATTTTAACGCTATCAATAAAACGAGTAGGCCACAATCATGGCAGTAGCTCGAAATTAATGCGTTCAGCATATAAATATTTTAATTTATTTAATTTATTAAACATGATAAACTAGCATATCTAACCTACGTTAGAACTTCCTTTCACTTTTGTTAATTCTGTGTCAGTTGCATAAACACTTCTCTGGACAAACATGTTAACAAATCCGTTATTAGAGAAATATAATATCAAGGACGCTACGCGTGAACGTTGACAAAGTAAGCATCACATCTAACGCGAGGCTTGTCTTGAATACATAAGCTCTCCCGTAAAAGAGGTACGAATCATGACGGGCTCTTTAAAGAAAGATGGAACAGCGAGAAGGTAAATGGATACTGGTAATCACTGCGGATTACTTCTTGTATTTGTATTTGATCATGCCCGGATGTAGGGCGATAGTCAATAAACTTCTGATTCTGATTCTGGATACACGCTCGGGTGTCACCTTGATTGGATAGTAAACGATTGTCGTAAAATCGCTAAATGATATTGAAACCGGGTGCATAAACTTGAAAACCACCTAGGACAACCTTAGACTGCCACATTAATCCAATACAATGCAAAAATAAACTATAACAAGTGGTTAAAGCCTTCAAACCGAATGGCGTAAAGTCCCCATATACCTCCATAGAGACAATAAAATAGAAGAAGCTTGTGAAACAAGAAGCCACCAACTTAAACATAATAATCGAAATAAAATACTGCCGGGCATCGGAGCGGCCTAAAACTTGGCACGCTTACCGCAAATGCTGCAGGCTACATCATCCCGTCGCTCGTTTGTAAATTCCGTGCATGGCATATGCACAATCAAACCGTATATCCAAATTCCACCTCTGATGTTTATTTCGGTCCTCTCTACAATCCAATTCAGGAAATGACGTAACCGCAGAGGTCGCATTGTCCAACGGCATGGCTTCTTTTTCGTAATGGGAGGTTAGAGAGGACCGACATAAACATCAGAGGTGGAATTTGGATATACGGTTTGATTGTGCGTATGCCATGCACGGAATTTACAAACGAGCGATGGGATGATGTAGCCTGCAGTATTTGCGGTAAGCGTGCCAAGTTTTAGGCCGCTCCAATATGTTGAAAATGGTTTATTCTTGTTTCACAAGCTGACTCTATTTTAGGCTTTGTTCACATGCAATGTCTATTTTCTAAATTCTATTTTCTATTCGCGGTATGTCTTATGATCACGGTCTGTGCACTGAATGTCCCGCGGCGTAATTACTGGCAGCGCGAGCCAGTTACTATAAGTTACTATAAGTAACTGGCTCGCGCTGCCAGTAATTACGCGGCGGGATATTCAGGGCACAGACCGTGATCATAAGATAGCGCGAATAGAAAATAGAATTTAGAAAATAAACATTGCATGTGAACGAAGCCTTATTGTCTCTATGGAGGTATATGGGGACTTAACGACATTCGGTTTGAAGGCTTTAACCACTTGTTATAGTTTATTTTTGCATTGTATTGGATTAATGTGGCAGTCTAAGGTTGTCCTAGGTGGTTTTCAAGTTTATGCACCTGGTTTTAATATCATTTAGCGATTTTACGACAATTGTTTACTATCCAATCAAGGTGACAGCCGAGCGTGAATGGATAGTGTTTTTGGTTCCTTGAAATCAAAAGGCACAGATTGAGTGAAACTGAAATAAAAGAAGATTTATTTGTGAAACAGAAAATTTACGTCTTGTGTGGACCGTGACGAAGTTAATTTTGAGTAGTTAACATTTTGTAATAATTTTACAACTTTATTTTCATTTGTGCTTTCAAAATTTTTATTCAAACGTAATTTTGAAGAAGCTGAAGAATGTGGAGTTAGTTCTTTCATCACTGTTCCTCTTTTAGAAGTTTTACAGGTGTGTTGTAAACTTTTAGCACTGAAGTAGCACGTACAGCTGTATATATGCGTTCAAACCGGGCGGCTTGATTTCCACCATATTTGAATGGAGTGGCCGTCACTGCACCTTAAGGCAGACTGCAAAGAATGCCTGGCAAGTGATTATGGAAACCATACAGAAAACGGTAAAAATGTACATGTAAGTACCCAGAAACTCTGGACTCACATCTGAAATATCCCAGCTACTGTATTACAGGTGCTTTCATTTCTTCTAAAGTCTTACTGATGTTCATATTTATTGTAGTGTTTAGCACCTTGTTAATAACAAGATAACACTGACATGACCAAAGATATGTTGCCTTTGGAAGAGATGTCAGTTGAAATATAATAGTTAAAAAATAAAACAATTTTAGTGGTCAAAAAAAAAAAAAAAAAAAAAAAAAACAGTTCCGGTAGAAAAATTTGTGAATAAATATGAAGTAAAGAGNTCTTGGATTGGCAGGGTAATGGAGAAACCAGAGCCCCTTGTTGAACAGCAAGCTGAAGAAAATGTGACTTCCGTGCTCAGTCAGATTCTCAAGGAGATCAAACAGCAACGTGATAGCCAGGAGCAAGATAAACAAGAATTTTCGCGTCTTATAAAAGAGCAAGAAGAAAGGTTACGTGAGGAATTTAGATTAGTTAAGGAGCAGACCGACGTAAAGCCGCTTTTTCCAGAAACCACACAAGGTGAAAAGAGAATAACAGCTGAATCACCTGCTTCTGCAGCTGAGTCTTCATTGGCCCAACTTTTGAAATTATCACAACAACAACAACAAGCCAGCATAGAGTCTATGCGTCTCCCACCGGCAGATCTAATCAATATTAAGTTCGTCTCTTTCAGGTGATGTATAAATTACAAGAGCAAAACACAGTCTTTAGTCGGAAGAATAACAGTTTGAATTACAGTCTGATTTCTTCCCATTCCATGTGCAATTTAACCACCTGTTAAAGGAATTAGCAGTGCCTCCATCTTTCTGATTTCTTTCCATTCCAGGTGCAATTTAACCAACTGTTACAAGCACTAGCAGTGCCTCCATCTTTTACAGTGTTTCGTGTAAACACTTTAGCTTCATGTTCAACTGAAGAGATCAAAGTCCAGTTGGAGGATGAAATTAATCAGGTGAGTATCCAGTCTGCACTTAAAGATTTATCTCAGTTCACTGCTAGTCAAAATAACCAGCGATTTTAAAAGGGGGATTCTTTTCCTGGAAAAGGTGAACCTTTTACCCAGAAACCTTCATGTACTTAGAAAAAAATTTATCCAGAGGGGGTGCTTTTCACAGCATAAAGGGGGGTTCTTGTTGAGGCTGGAGCCCCCAGGCTAAGGGCCTGTTCAGAGATCTACAAGATTGAGATTGAAGATTAAATATGTACTTCAGGGGTTTCCTGAGTATCTGAAGCACAGGGAGTCCAAAATGTGAATCTGTAATTTTGTTATGTTACAGCAATATGCCAGCAGAGGGCAGCACCGTGCAGTGGTGGAGTCACATGACACACTGCCAGATGTTCTCTATGTGAAGAACTCTGGGCCACATTTGAATCTAAAAAATGTAAGAAATTAGTTTTTGATTTTGTCCATTAACCATAATATCTCTTTTTGTTTCAACTCAGTTTTTGTGTATTAAAATTTGTACTTCTTTTTATTATACTCTTGATCATTAAATTAATTTTGCTAATATGTAATATATGTTATTTTATGTGTACCTGTAAATTGGCTGTATTAACAGCTTATTGAAATAATCATTGGTCTCTGGTCACTGGTCAGTCTCTGATTAACTCCTTCATTTCCCACCTAGAGTGCTAAAGCTGTTATCGTGGGTCTCCAGTGTGGTATGTCAGTGTTGAGGGGATCAGATGTGTTTGCTCAGGGAATTATGGGAGCACCTGCAGGTCAGTGAAACATTGTGTTAGGTGTGACAGTGCTGGGTGAGACATTGTGTTAGGTATGACAGTGCTGGATGAGACATTGTGTTAGGTGTGATAGTGCTGGATGAGACATTGTGTTAGGTGTGACAGTGCTGGGTGACACATTATGCTTTTTCAGGATTCCAAGGGATTTTGTTTTGTTTGTACTGGAAACAATGTAGCACTGCTTCTTATGGTATAAAATGATCGATATTATTGTACAATCCAACAATTTCAGTTGCCAATAAACTATATTATTATTATTATTAAATGTTACGCTATTTTTTATTCTTACTACAGACTTAATAACAATCTTTCGTTTGGCATACATACCAGAGTTTGCTGAGGCACAATTATTTTGTGACTTATTTTGTGGAACTGAGCAGATAAGATTTTTATATCTTTATTTTTGCCTGTTGCTGATGATTTAATGACAAATGTTTTTCAAGATATGCAGAGTGGAGACTTGGTGTCTGTGTATGCAGATATAGAGGGTGCCTGCAAGAAAGGACTGAAGGATGATTTTGAGGGACAGAAACATTTTGTGGGCAACGGAATAGCTAGGATCAGTAGACATTCCTTGTTTAAGTCAGAAACACCGGCAAAGTAAGTCTCATCTTTAACTAGATTCATATCTGTGTAAAATCCGTGTAAAATCTAGTAAAATATAATCACAGAGACTTTAATTAAATTGCTTGGATGGTGCTGTCTGGTGCATTAACAGCACCCTGAGCTTCAGAGCTAACTTGACACTAACCTTTTCACTGTAGCCTATCTCCATCGTGTCAAGTAACCTCTGACGAAAATAGTTTGACCTATTTTATATAAGCCAATCGAATCCATGTTTCAAAATTTTTCACCAAAGTTTGGTGAAAACGCTGATTGGTTGATCGTCAATCGGCAATCCTCGGCTGATTCCGCAAGCTCCATACTAACAACATAGTTATTGTCGAGTGCGGAGACATCCGAGTAGTTCCGAGTGGTTCCGAGTGCATAACCGTACACAAAGAAAGCATGGAGTATATCGGAATTGAAACCAGAGCAGTATGATGCCCTGCATCATTATCTACTGAGGGATGATGTATTTTGCGTGCTGCCCACAGGTTACGGCAAGTCCCTGATATTCAGCCTTATCTTTGATTGGTCCGGATTTGAACAAAGCGCGCTTTGACTCGTTCGCGTTCATTGGCTAGATCGTTCAATGAGTCATTGAGTGCGGGCTTTAAATTTGATTGGCGGGCGGCGGGGGCACTCGAATCTGGTCAGAGGTTACTTGACACGATGGAGATAGGCTACAGTGAAAAGGTTAGTGTCAAGT